TGAAAAAGTTAATAAGGAAGGGTTGAGCTTGCTAGGTTGTAAGGACAAGAGGCCAATGGACAAAAAACAGGCAGAAACAACAATAAGGACTTGAACCACAGAGCATGTGACCGACTGAGCCAAAAGGTGAATGTGGGATGAACAACCATCATGTCCAGCACAAATTTCCTCTAACTATATCAATGTAATTTGACTTCAGCTGGTGTATTGCTTAGTGGCACAAAATATGGAACAAAATAATTCAATCATTTATGAGTTAATTTATGTTGCAGAAACAAGGCTGTAATAGACAGATTATACCAAAACTTTAAATTATCCAAGTGTTTCTAGATTATGTTGAAAAAATTGAAATTAAAAGTGTCTTACCAAGCCAACTCACTACTGAAGAGAATTGTCAGTATGGGGTGAAAATATGGGTAAAATAATACGTTTGATAGATACTAAGTGCTCAATAAATGTTAGTAGCAGCTACTACTATTACTTCTGTTGCTACTATCTCTACCAATACAGTAGTCCCCCTTTTCTATGATTTCAGTTACCCAAGATCAACCACAGTCTGAAAATATTAAATGGCAAATTCCAGAAGTAAACCATTCATAAGTTTTAAATAGCATTTAAATTCCCTTTAAATTTAAATTCTGTTCTGAGTAATGTGATGAAATCTCACATAATCCCAACTCCATCCCTTTGTCCAGCATATCATTTCTCACCATCACAAGAAGAAAGGTGAGTACAGTACAATAAGATACTTTGAGAAAGAGATAATATTTATATAACTTTTATTGTAGTATATTGTTTTAACTATTCTTAGTTATTGTTGTTACTCTCTTACTGTGCTTACTTTATAAGTTAAACTTTAGTATAGGTATGTATGTATGGGAGTAGATGGAAGTATATATAGGGTTTGGTACAATCTGGGGTCTCAGGTATCCCCTGGTGTCTTAGAATGTATCCTGCTCAGATAAGGAGGCACTACTGCAAAGACAGAAACTTAAAGAGCTCTCACACAGACACCTGTGGCATAACCAATATCTATTACTCTTTACTTTCTTGCTAACAGAGTTCTGATTTTTTGCTCAGGCACCTACCTCTCAGGGAATGTGACCTTAACCCCATTAGAGGCATATCTGGATTAGACTAAACCAATTATAGTAATCTCATTCCTTTTGCCCATGACTGGTTTAAGAGTAGGCTGTGGCTTCATAACCAATAAAACATGAAGAAAGTTAGCTAAGAGAGCAGGGGAGGAGCTTTGGGGATATGACAAGAGCATTTTCAGTTGAATATGGGGGCAAAAACCTGACAGTAGCAATTTTAGGAGAAAATGAGAAGAGGAATTAGATACAGTAAGTATAGACAACATTTTTGAGGAATTTTGTTACAAAGGAAGATAAGATGTGGGAAAATAACTGGCTGGCTTTTTGTTTTTTCAAGATAGGAGAAATAACAATAGGTTTGTATGCTTATGGAAAAATCTAGAAGACAAGATGTTGAAAAATTATCTACATAATTATGCCATAGCCAAGAATTACAATAGATACAGGGTTAGAGAGTGAAGATAGCAGGTAATGATCTGATGACATGAAAGTAAAAGCTGTGGTTTTGTGTTTTTTGTTTAATTTATCTTTATTGTTGAAAGTATTACAGATGTCCACCCTTTTCCCCCTTTGACCCTCTACACCCAGACCCTGCCCCACTCCAGGCATTCATCACACTATTGTCTGTGTCTATGGGCTACAAATATATGTGAACATGTTCTTTGGTTAATCTCTTCCTGCCCCTCCCGCCCTTCTCTCTGAGATTCAACAGTCTGTTCCAGGCCTCCATGTCTCTGGATCTATTTTGTTCATTAGATTCCACATATAAATGAGATCATGTGAACTTGTCCTTTGACTGGCTTATTTCGTTTTTTTGTCTTTTTTTATCCTCATTGGAGGATATTTTTCCATTGATTTTTAGAGAGAGTAGAAGAGACAGGGAAAGACAGAGAGAAACATCAATGTGAGGGGAAACACATCAATTGGTTGCCTCCTATACAGGCCCCAACCAGGACCCAGGCTGGGGAGGAGCCTGCAACTGTGGTACATGCCTTTGACCAAAATCAAACTCAGGACCCTTCGGTCCGCAGGCCAACGCTCTATCCACTGAGCCAAACTAGCTAGGGCATCGCTTATTTCATTTTATCTGGAAGAAGTAATGAGAATATAAAGAAGATAGTCAACCTACTTTCAGACCCAGTCATTCAAGAGCCCAGGGAGAAAACCAACTTTGAAGAGCTGCAGAGGAAGCAGTATCTCCAGAGGAGAGCCTGTTTCCATTAGAACAAGGTGAAAGGAAGGAAAATTCAGAGAAGTCAGGAATTTTGCTGTTGGTGGATCATGAATTCCTGAGGGCACAGAAGAGTTTCAGCAGCTGGGCAGGGGGCAGGAAACAGAAGAGGGGATATGCAAAGTCTATGGGATTAGATGTGGGAGTCTAGGGCTTCCTGCAGTGGCAAATATGAACCAGGATAAAGAGCATAGTAATTGTGCTGGACTCAAGAAACATAATGATGGTAAAGTTGTGAGTGTTCTGGGGACCAGGGCAGTTCAGGGGCACAGGGTATTTCCTCTTCCTCTTGACTCCTGTTGATGGAACTCATGGACCTGAGGCTGGTTCCCTTCATCATTAACAACTTTATAAAATTGCATGTCACCATCACACATATGGATTTCTGATCAAAAAGCTTACAAATTTTAAAAATCTCCCTGCTCTGGGGGAAATGTAATTTTTCATAGCAGAGTTTGGTTTTACTTACATCTGTGTTACAGGAGCGATACCGTTTCCTTTCCCCAAGGCAGTATTTTCCACCTCCTGAAGGTCTGAAAACACATTTTGTTTAACATGTGAATATACTATATTTATCCACATAGAAAGCACATATATTGCATGATGAAAACATATTAACATTTACTTTAAGAAAATACAAAATTGGACATTTTATTAGTTATTAAAAAATCATGCTGGGGACTGTTAGTAATAATGATTATGACTGCTGAATGTTAAAATTAAGGCAATTTACTATGAGTAACTTTATAAGACTGTTAATTGTTATGATTTACATTAAGAAAATGCAATTAAATCAATGTATTTTCTAATTATTATAGTAAACAGGTGATTGGTTCAATTTGAGATTCCAGCTTAAAATTCACTTATTCATAATGAAAAGCCATTTGAATCACTTCAACAAACCCATAACCTGATGCATTTTGCCCACCAAGTTGGAAATGAAAAGTTATTTGATTTTTTTCTCAGACTGGAAACAAGAGAGGACACTAAATGACTCTCTGGAAATAGTTTCAGTTCCAAGTAAATAATGCAGAAATGAATTTCTATCTCATTTCAAATATATAGTTTTAAATGATGTTAAATCTAAACATCAGATGGGTTTGCATTATATAAATGCTTTAAATAATACTCAAATTAATGAAAAAGTGAGATGTCAAATATTTTATTTCCATCAATTAATTTTTAAAGTATTAAACATTAGGTAGAGCCATACGCTATTATTTGAATGCTATTTTTGAAGGCTAACTTGTTCTTTTAAAAGAGTTCTGGTCATACTCTTAAATATCTGGGTATGTTATTGATTATTATAGGGTTTTATAATTTTGGTTATTATTCTACAGTAGCCTACAGTTGAACTTAGGTTAATTATTCTGTACTTGTTTTAAAAATAGCAAAGTCTAAATTACAACTTTGACTTACTAGAATCAATGGGATAATTTAAGTGACAATTTTGAATATGTTTTGAATGCCAGTGAATGGTGACTCTAAGGATGGAAAACAAATGGCCCAGCTAGAACCAGCTTGGGAGAAATGGGTCGGTCAGACAAAAACAAAGTAACGGGGACGGTGGTAGCATGGCTGGTTTACGCGTAAGTGACAGTGAGTGAGCTCGGTTTAGCAGGAGGGTAAAAATAGCTAGAAAATGGGAGAATGGAAACACAGCACTAATATCCAGGGAAACGATTTCAAGCTAAAAAGAGAAGAAAAGAGACTGTTTAGAGAGAGAAGCCAAAGAGAGGGATCCTGAGTTAAAAGGAGGAAGAAACAAATACAGACCATCTTTCACCCCAGAAGGAGGAATACAGCAGAATTGATGTATCATCACCTGGTTCTGCACCAAAATATGCATTGGGAAAGAAGGCCATCAGCCTGAGCTCCAGCCAAAAATGTGAGCTGCTAAGGAGCAGTTCAGTCTCCAGAGGAGCAGCAAAGACCATGCAGAGGAACAGTCCACCTGCAATGGGCAGTGGCGGGAGGGAGAAGCAATACCACAGCAAAGCATACTGATGGGACTGGCCTTCCGCCAGAGGGGCTCCGGCTGGAGAAAAAGATGGTGGGAGAGGAGCAGTCTGACCTGCATAAAACAGCCATGGGGAGAAAAGTGGTGGCAACTCCAGAAGATGATTAATGGGGGCATGTGAAAGGAAACTATTTTAACACATGGGCAGTATTCTTTTCATTGTGATTTGTGATGCGAATCAAGGCATTTCAACCCTTGAAGGGCTCTCATTGGTCCTTTTAATACTACTGTAGCAGTAATAATTTTATGTGACATGTGAAAAGACCTTAGGTTTCCTGGGAATAATGGTACTGTAGCTAAGACCAGACCTGGATTCATCCATAATTCAGTAGTTTTTGGAAAAGGAAATCTATCTGATTATTAGTAGATTAAGAATTCTGGCTCTACCTGGGGTAGATACACAATGCTTGTCTTTCTCCCCTTTCTTTTATTTTTAGTCACATAGGAAGGGGCGGGGAAGAAAAGGAAAGTCTGTCTAACAAGGCTCCTCCGCTCTCCTTGCCTCGTGCTTGTTCTGAAGACAAGCACTTGGCTCGGGAGTGAAACGTTTTTACAGATAACATGTGAAACCACAGCTTTGAATCATTTCCAACTGTGTCTTTTTGTTGGCTGCGGCTTACTTTAGCTACTTACGCTGGACTGTCACACTGTCTTAGAGATGAGGAGACGCCTCCCCCGCAGGTCCTGCTGCACTTTCCCCACAGTGACCAGGCACCCCAGCCCCCTTCTACGCTCTGGGGCGAAGTGCCAAAAGCAACACATTCTCCCTGATAGCACCACTGCAAGATTGCACAGAAAACACAGAATTAGCTTTTAGGCAGATACAGCTATCAGGACAGAAATACACAAAGTTCAGGCAACGACCAATTACAGGCATTAGCATTCTCCCAACAGATAACAGAGTTCTTTAACCGTGTTTACACATTGGTGATGGTGCGTGTGATTTGCAAATTATCTTTAGCTAGGCAATGATTTCAAAATCTCTAACACGTACCAGGAGTCTAAAAAACGAGTCTACTTCTCTTCCCTTATTTCACCTACTCCAGACTTTTCGTGTTTCTTATTAGGGAGACCTCAAAAGTCTTTTTTCGATATTCTAGTATTAAAAAATTTTCTTTATATTCCACTATTATTAGACTCATGGAATGATAACGCAATATGGAAAGTTCCCCAGTAAGGAATTTTTATGATGGTAATTGCTTTTTCTTTAAAAAAAAAAAGAAAGAAAGAAAAAGAAAAGGCTGGTTGAGGCTACAATGGTAAAAGAATGTGTTGTGGCATTTCATCTACATGAGTACTGCAGACATAATAAAAGTAATGCCAAGACACTAGGGACTGGGTACAAAAAAACCCTTATGTACACCAACCAGCCATGTGCATAGCCCCTGCGTGAACATGTGTGTTGGAATTCTTCTCAGCTTTACTCTCTGCAATAAACCACACATACTGCACATAAGTAGAAAGCCAGGAATAATTTATCGAGACGCAGACATCAAATAATCAGCTCATAACTCTAACATGATAAATCTTACTTGCAGAATATGGTAAAAAGGAAAGCCTTTTTAAAAAACAACAACAACAAGAAGCATTTCTAGGCTTTTATCGGTGCATTTTGTGAATTGCCATCAATTGCTGACAAACCATACTGATGCTATGAAAGTCATTTGTTTACATGAATAACCACAGGCCACATTATAAGAGTTGAGTAACTGTCAGCAATGCTAGCTAGCTAAATAAAAATTCAACATTATATTAAAACATAGAGGGATTAGGACATGTGATGCTTACAAGTAATCATTGTATAATACTAATTATATATATCCAGAATTATTTCACTTTTCACCTTTTTCACTGCTACCAATGGCAAATGGAATAGCTTCTTACCTGGTTCCCCTACTTCCACTTTTTCCTATCTATAATCAATCTGTTCTCCAGTAAGCATTCAGAGAGATCTTTTTAAAAAACATATTATTCCATCATGTCTCTTTTTTTGCTTAAAAGACTCTGGTCAGCTGTGGCCTGTGGGAAACACCCCTGCCTCCTTCTCCAGCCTCACTCTCTCAGATTTCTCCAGACACACCAGATTTCCTTCCTTTCCTCCAACACTAAACCCGTTCCCTCCATAAGGCACTTGCATCTGCTGGTCCTTCTGGGAATACTCTTCTTCCAATTCCTTATATGGCTGTGTTCTCATCATTCAGTCCCAGGTCAAGTGTCATCTCACCAGGGAACTCTTTCCTTGACCACCTTATCCCAAAGTGGAACCTCCAGGATGTAATCGTTTTAGTACACACTACTTTAAATTATCCTGTTTATTTTTCGAATTACTTCATTATTGTCTGTCTCCTCTCATTAGTAAGTAAAAACCTTAATGTGACAAGTGTGGCTATTTAAATTTAAATTAATTAAAAATTAGGTTCCTCAGACTGGCTAGCTACATTCCAGGGCTTCATAGCCACATGTGTGGTAACGATGTTGGGCAGAGCAGATCCAGCATGTCTGTCACCACAGAATGTGCTGGAAGCCAGTCCATCCTTGCTGCTTGACACAGTCGCTGCAAGGAAGAAACATCTGCACAGCATATGTTTCAAGGGACCTGGCATATATGGCATACTGTTCTTATAAAACCCCTTAATTAAATGCCAAGTGGGTAGTTAATCACTTTAACTATGAACAATCACCCTTAAGCTACATAATCTTTACTCCCTGGAATGGAGATAAGAAATGTCCTAACCTTTGGAATAGAAATTGATAGGATTAAAATCAACTGGTATAAATACAGATGTAACAAGACAATAAGACTCAGAACTTGGCTGGAGATCCTGGCTAGAGAACCCAACTATGCTTGATCAACTGAACGCTGCCTCCATGTCATTCCTTCTTTACCAACTCTGTCCACACCTCTGGGAACCCCTGGACCTGCTGGGGCTGGACCCCAACAAGAATGTTCTATCTAGGACAGTGCTTAGCATGTAGTAGATAAGAAACAAAAATCCATTGACTGAGAGACAACGTTAGTTCAATTTTAGAATTCTGTGTTCTGTTTTAGTTGCTGCATGTCAGGAACTGGAAATACTGGAGGGTAAAGAGAGTCAAATTCACCTTTGTTTCCCTAGGAGTTAGCACTGAGTAAATGTTTTAGTAGCTGTGACAACATAAAAGACTTTTTAGAGAAGTGCTAAGCAATTATCATTTGTCCATAAAAAAATTAGGCAAGAAGAATTCAAATTTTGGTTGGCTAAAAGGCAGAACATTCTGAGCCTTAACCTATTAGATATTAAAGTAAGACATTAAGAAAGATTATGACTTTTGACAATGAAAATTACCATGAAAAAAACCCATCTGTCCAAAATGATGAAGCAGAGGTTGCTGGCTGCACTGATATATTACAGTATCAGCTCTGGGAGTAGGACTGCTGATAATGTACACTTGAGAGGGAGAGCATGTTCCAGCTGCCAGCTTACCGCTTACCTAATTGATCCTGAAGACCAATCATTTGTATAATGATATACCACCAATTGTGCTAGACCTTCACCTATATAAAAGTCACAACATTAGGCCAAATAATCTCCGGTTTTACATTTTTGCTATTAGAAGTACCTGTGTGTACAGACACCTATGCCTATACCTATTTTTTCTTTGAGAATGACTAAGCAAAGTAGTACTGACCAGCAATGACTGGTTTGGGCCATGGTTTCAATTAATGACAACACTTTAAAAAACTCCACCTCTTAAAATTTGTCTATTTTTTCAAGTTGGAAATCTAGCATTATTGATTTCAAATAACATTAAAACTTGATTTTACATTTTATAAAAGCACAGAGCTGCATCTAAAGCTCAAAAGAACTTAAGCATTCATGAGATCTAAGTACCTCATTTTTCAAATGAGAAAACCAGAGCCTATAGCAGGTTGACTTGCCCAAAGTCACTTACTGGCAGAAAGGAAGGAATTATCTGTCCAAAAATACAGAAAAAGTCAGTGTGGTGTGGGGGA